CGTGATAAATGTGAGTCACTACAAATCTATTTGTTGCATCATTTCAAATTCACATTTTCGCAATAAATTGATCTCTGTTTTGATATTGGTCTGTTTACCGCAAGCTATGAGAGACTAAGAGGTGATCTGATAGACTAAATGTGCCGCGTCACCTAAACACAAACACCCTACCAGGGTATCGGCACCACTTTCCTCCAGGCAGCCCCGAAAAAGTTAGACATGAGCGAGCAAACTCCCACTTTCTCTAATTATGAGTTGCCCATACATTTTACAGTGACCATTCAGTGGATATCTTTGAAAGGCGACTTGACAAACATATATTCATGGATAACCATCTACTATTCCTATGCAAGTCTCGTGAATTAGCGTGGTTGAGTGACTAAAATATCTCCCATTTAGCGTTAACGAAGATGCGGTTCCATACAGAGACAACCAGTAGTAAGCACAAAGAAGTCAGTTGATTTAGATAAGTTTGAAACAAAAATATTGGAGTCTGAATGTAGAGCGCTATCCAAAGTAGACGTTACGTAAGGATGTGTGGTAGAAGTATACTAAACAGACTAGACACTTATAATTAGAAACGTAGGTTTTAATAGCACGTATAATAAGGAGTAAAAACGCATCTTTACTTTCCTCAAAACATTTAAGGTGATTGAGAAAAGTTCTATAACCATCTGGTAAAACTGATAATGTTAAACGTACCAATTGGTACGTTACCATTTAAATGGTAAATTCTATTTCTTCAACTCATATTTAACAAGCAATTGACATTATCTGTAAGCCATAACTTTTAATCGCTTATCTTGAGTCCGACAGTCTGGTGGCATAACATATGCAGTAGAAATAAATATTTTATGAGGAAACTGGTAGATAATCTTTTGTGTCTTATGAGCAAAAACCATGCATCCATATGGCTACGGAGCACTTTTACTATGAAGCGGACAACAGTTGGTGATTAGAAACAGCCTCAAATTTTTATTCCTTGCTCTAACAAGGAACAATATGGGGACTTGAAAATGTTCTGGTCCTTTTAAGGGTTCTAGAGTGTGATGGGATCCATGTAAATAAGGACTGATTCATATGTCTGTTTCCAATTTACTGGCAGAGTAACCTGCCAGAGACAGTAGTCGGTTTAATGAATATATAAAATCGATTTGCCATATCCATTTGTAAAAGCTGTTTTCCTATTGTGTAGCAAGTAGCTGGCGATTCATCGGTGTTCTAAGCTCGTCCGTAAAGTATACTTCTGCCAAATTTACAATTGAAAAGCTTTATAAATAACAGATTCCCATAGATTTTCTTACCTTTAACAACTCCCAACTGAGGAGAAAAGCTCGCATTTTTCACCAACTCAGTATTTGGGGTCCTCTAGAATTTTTCACAATATCTACAGGTTCTCTATATTTATCCCTGTTTTTTTGTCTGAATACATAAGTTTTTCGGAGTTGCCACACTTGGTAAACTATGTGCGTACGTTTATCCAAAATCTAACCGATTTCGCGTGCATCTTTGGAAATTCACGTCAGCAATTTTAGAATTGATGGGGCAGAAAACTCGGCATTTACCCAGGTCTATGATTTTAAACAAATTTCACCGAACACTTCCACAAGTGCGAACGTTTGCCGAAATAAATTTGAAATTTATCAAGGTATTCCAATAAGGGAAAATTTCATTGATTAAATACCAGTATGCCTACTTTAGGTCTTTTACATCAAACCTAGAGCTTATTTTTGCCCATGATTTCTATATAATACACGTTTTCTTGGAAAACTCCGCCCTCGTGCAAACTTAGTTGTCTACTAGATACCCCAATAAACAGCTGTTACTTATAATGTATTTTATGTTCAAGAACACTTTACCCAATAAAATCAATAAGAATTTTCGTCTAAATTTGAACGAATAGTTTCACAGTATTTGGGCGCCGAGTTAATGTTAGACATTAAAAAGGAAGAATGTATTTGTAAAATCTCAGCGAAAGAATTTGACGTAATTCCAACGTTTTGCCTGGCATTCCGGTCCAAGCTTTTTCAAGGAAAATATAATCAAACAACAAAATTATCGAGTATAAATTGGTACATGGTTCTTCGGTTTACTGTATACTGAATAAGTCAAACAATCAACGTGAAGGATTTTAAAAAAAATAGGTATTTGCATTAATGTGTAGGAGACATGTTTATATGAAAATAATGAAGGTCAACCAAATAAAAGTTCAATTAAAAATAACCAAGGGGAGAGAAAGAATAAGTTGTCGTGACTTACGGACAGCTGTTGAGTTGAAAGTAACATTCGAAAGAACTTTTAGTTTTCATTCAGCCACTATTGATTAATATAGCACACCAATGTTTCATTTAAAAAGGCTGAGTGAGTAAATAGGTGATTACATGTAATAATAACTGTCAGAGATCCGATAAGAGGATTGTGACTACGTATAGACCTTTGAAGAGTTGAGGGCTGGTTGTAGTATAGTTCGGTATCTGAACGTGAATATTTTCACAAATAACTCTTCATCAATTGCGATGTATTCATTCGGTAAATCATTGTCATTCAGTTCTTATATCATCATCCAGTACACAGCCACTCAGATTAAAAAACTATACCTAACGAGTAAGTTGTATCAAAACGTTTTTTCCTTGCAGTGTTAGGCAGATGAATACTAAAATTATATTGGAAGTTAGCGACTTGTTAGATAGTGTAAGAAAAAGTTAAGGGTTACGTAAATAAATCATCTTTTGACATGTAAGATATGGAAATTATTTCGGAAAAAGACCGCTTCTATTACCTTTACCAACTTGGAGATTGTAATTGATTTTATTGGGTAAAGTGTTCTTGAACATAAAATACATTATAAGTAACAGCTGTTTATTGGGGTATCTAGTAGACAACTAAGTTTGCACGAGGGCGGAGTTTTCCAAGAAAACGTGTATTATATAGAAATCATGGGCAAAAATAAGCTCTAGGTTTGATGTAAAAGACCTAAAGTAGGCATACTGGTATTTAATCAATGAAATTTTCCCTTATTGGAATACCTTGATAAATTTCAAATTTATTTCGGCAAACGTTCGCACTTGTGGAAATTTTCAGTAAAATACATGGGTTCGCGAGAACTTGGTTGTATCTCTCTGGCTACTCTTTAGACCACTCTTAATGGTTTTCGGGAGTTGGAGGAAAACATCTCTAGATAGGTGTAATGCATAATTCACCTTTATGATTATTGAGTCGCTCCACATCACCATCCTCTTCAAAAATTTCTCTCTCGTCGACGAGATGGTACCTGTAAGTCTGCCTCTTCTAAGGTGGTTTGTTGGTAACAAATTACTAGACAATATCAATATTTTCGAACAGGATTATTGAGGTCGCGTGACAAAGGATTGGGATTAAGCTCAGCACATTCAAACGTGCCTGCTGAGTTTGGGTTACCGTTCAGTCAGTCAGCTACAACGTAGGACCAGGCACGTATATGCATCGGTCCAAGTTGTCATACCTCATAAACGCAACAAGATGAACACCGGATTCATAAAAGAAGTTAATTCAGTTGTGATAATATATAAAAGAAAGATTGCAATAAGGATATAGTACAGGAAGAAAGAATTAGTTCGTAGGAAGAAAGATATGAGGCGATTTTAATCTCAGTTTAAGGGAAGACAAAGAGTGTATACACCGACGCCATCGTGATCGATTCTGAGCCATGTCACCAAGAGTCTCTAACCGTTGGTATCATCTTGTTTACGCCCTTTACTCACGGCTGTATCATACTCATGAAAGACACTGCTTCTAAATCTCTTAACCATCGGTAAGAGGTCTATTGAGAATGGCCTATTAATCTTGAAAATTTACTAACAGACACCAATAAATCCTCTCTCAGTGTATTGTACACCAATTTCCTGTAAGTTATGAAAGTAGGAAGCAAATATTTATTAAAAACCACCTAGCAGTGTAAATCGTAGGACTCAAAAATCCTCACAAATTCCCCATGTTAATGGGAATAATGATCCTATCCTTGGCATTTTACTAATAAAACATGTGACTACTTTCATATTATTAATACGGTACTGAATGTTTCTCTATAAACGTGTTTATCAGTTATAGTGGAACTTGGTGGTGACGCTTTACATATTCAGTTTTATGTCATCTGAGATACAAGATGGATTGTTTCATTGCAGTGTATGTGATTTGAAAATCAGGTATGATTACAAAGGTGATAAGCCTCCATTCTTCAAAAAGGATGTAAAGTAACTAGGTATCCTAGCGTTGTAATGATAGCTTCAGGCTTCTAGAAAATGTATATTGTATTCGTGATCCGTTTGCTGACGATAATTTGGGTGGGATTATACTAGGTGGTGATTGTAGTGTGTGCGGGAAAAGTGTTTGTGTTTCTCAAGTATGTCGTATTCAGTTTATTTTATATGATATTTAGAATTGTTCTACATACAACGTGAAACGATACTGCCTTTGTTGTGTGAAAGATGAACATGGCAGCAGTTGACAATACGGTTTGTGTGGATTGCTAAAGCGATAATTATTTGTGTACATATGTATGCTTTTTTAATGTTAATTATTTTTTGTGAGTACTTGTTGTGCCAATTATTGTGGTCAGTTGTTAAAATAATAGACATGGAGGGCTACATTTAATTTTGTGTTTTTATTTGTTAAGACGTTTGAAATGTGTAGTTAATGGCGGGTTAGTTTACTTACTGTTATATCCCGGCGGGAATTATGAATGGTAACTTCCGAGAAATATTCATGGACAAATATTATGCGTATATTCTCAATGTATAACTATTCAGTATCTAAATTATGCATATCCATACTCATCTTATTACAAGCTTTACTTCGACCTATAAACTATTATTACACGGTTTACCGTTCTTGAGTTATGCCCAGTCTATTAATTTCAGTCTCCCATATTCATAGCTACTTTTGGCTAGATCTTGTACAAGTGTTATTTTCTATTTTATGGTACGATGTGGCCTGTTTGGTTTATATATAAACGCAGTATGTTTGGAGTACATGATTCATAGTTCAGAAACTGAGATCAGTGTTCTGAACTCAACAGGCAGGGCTAGGTAGGAAGAAGGGACCGATAAAAACTCTAGACAGTTCTTACAGGTTTTATACATCATTGGTTCGGTCGATAAATCACTTCTCTAATTGATGGTATCATATACTGATAGGGATTCAAGGTATAACAGATTTCAATAACATTCAACAAAATCAACAGACTGATAAATATCATGTGGTCACTAATGGCTAATTTATAGAGAAAATATGCAGAGTTTTGGTAGTAAGCTGTAACATTGAATGATTGTTGTATAATAGGTCAAAATTAAACATGAAAAGATATGATATCGACTGAATCGTTTGAACTTTCTACTAATCACATTGTTTATCGGAAAGAAATCAAAAATTAAACTTATGAATGAAAAAAACCGTAAACGAGTAGATGAAATGTTTTAAATATCCAAAGGACATTGAACATATTAGAGGTATTATTAGGCAGTACAAAATAAAACAAGTGTAAAAGTACGCATGATAATCAAGTGGTTGTTAATTGCAGTCTAAAAAAAGCACACGATAAACACACAAAACACTTCTCACAACACAACTTTGAACGACTATATATCTCGCGTAATCAACATCTATTTCTTAATCTACGCAAAAAAAACCAGATGAATAAGTATCAAAGAGCTCATTTAAACGTAAAAAGAATTAATTGAATTAATCAAAGTATTTATGTATATGATAGGCGATTACAGAAAAGTTAAGTGCTTTGGTTAACTGAAGGCACCGATTTTTTTTCGATAAAGCTTCAATTGATCAACATACATGCCTGTATTAGCGTATTCATACAGACAATGGATCGTTTTAGTTGGAAAAAGTCTGAAAATAAATGAATAGGAATAATAATAATATGTTGTATGGCGTAACCTATTGATGTCTACATTAATAATGATTTAGTTAATTTTTTTTTTAAACAATGCAATTCAGTTTTGATTGCCTGTAATAATGTTAAAAGTACTCAAGGATCAATCAACTTGTTGATCTAAATATTATTCTGATTATTGAAATAAAAAATCAAACAATTTAGGTAAATGAAAATATTTTATAACAGATTTTACAATTAAGGATGGAAAATGACGCTGATCGGTTGAAGTTAGATATTTAAATTACCGAATGACGGGCCAACGATCTAAAGCTCAAGCTCTCCTAACACGACCCGGAGGTTTTAAGTTTGATCCCCAGTAAAGGTGTAGTTGCATAGGACGAAACAACTGTCCAGTGCTTCCCGATTTCTAATGATTGCCTTGGGTGATTTCAATAACATTTGAACTATTATGATTAGTAGACCAGAGATAGATTGGTGAGTTGCAAGTTGAAACAGTCAGCTTTACATTAGTGAGCGTTCAGTGGAGCAGTGGTTAAGGCGTTGAGCTATTAACTATTAGGTACCATAAGTAAATGCATGTATTCATTCATATGCACCGAAGAGCCTGGTACATTTGTGGATTGGTCCAACTTACCGCACCACAGCAAAATGTAAGAGTAGTGGATAGAATTAGTGACAAGATCAGTGGTAGTAGAAAACATTAAGCATAGACGGTATGATTCCAGAAAATATGAATTCATAGAATAAAAAGGAACTAGATAATTCAAAAACTCAGGATCTAAGGGAAGAAAAATAGTAAATGCGTCTGTGCAATTACGAACAGTTGTGAGCCATGTTGCTTTACTTCTTCCCAACCATTGGCTACATCTTTTGAGTGGACACTAACATCTACCAAAACGAACCAGTCTAACTGTTAATGAACCGATGGTGCGTTTTGTTTTTCCACCACTAAAATTCTTCCAGTCTACTCCCCCACACTAGAAATTTGACGTCGAAGTAGACAGTGGCTTGGGATATGTAGTAAATGCCTCATTCGATGAAGGCTTACTACTTCACCAAACAGTTAAAAGTGCAGTATACCTATTCTTCATGGATTTTACTTCCTATGATATTTTGAAATATGACAACGTGAACCGGTGCATATCTGTGTGAAAATTCATATTTTACGTCTGAAAATTTAAGAGTACCAATTAATGGAGAATTCAGTTGTTCAAGTATTAAAAAGTAAAATCGAGAGTCTATTGTTGCAGTAGGTTTTGGGCGTTGGACCACAAACTATCATCAACCTTACTCAGTTGAGGTTATGATTCTAAATGATGTTAGAACCAGAAGCTACCAATCACATGAATTTATTCAACCCCTATTTTTAAGAATATAATGTTACCCAATATTTGTGAAAGTTTACAACCTCACCCACTAATTTAGCTTTTCTGGTTAACTATTATCAACTAAAATAGTTTGCAGGTCAATAAACTACTAGATTAGTTGAGGAAAAAATAGTAATATAAATTGACTAAAACGGTATTGATTATTAAGCTATACGATGATTTGTGTATAGTGCGAAAAAGACGCCAGTAAAAAGTGGATCAGTACGTTTCTGAAATTACCTCTGAATTGATTTATGAATTATTTTATTTATTTTAACACAAATATTGGTATAAGGAGGCACCAAATAAATATGCGCCACACAAATCTCATTTGATATGTGTGAGGGCTGTGGTATTGCCCGGGTGCCCAAACTGAAGCAGGTGGTTTTCTTAGGGGGCCACATCTAGAGCCTTCGACCAGAAGGTCTGATCCACAAGGCAGTGGAGTATTGTAAGGAGATGCAGTCCCATGGTAGCCGTTGACCAACGATTGGTTCATACGCCATTTGTTCCCGCAGGATACTGGAGCCCATGTGCACCATTGGTTTGGAATCAGGGTTTTCCAACTCCCCTAGGTGGACTCTCCATTTCCACCAACCCGGTTAAAGCGCCGGACATTCGCTTTTCGTCCTCTCAATTTCGTAAACAACACCCCCGACACGAGAAGGCAGTGAGTAGGATTTCCCTGTCAGAGGCTATATACGCGTAGCCATATGAGAGCATTTCGAGAGGGAGAGCGGACTCTCCCCACTCCCGGCCGTACCAGGGCATTTGGGGGTGATTTATGAATTAACGTATATTTGTGATAGCATTTGGTATAAGGAACCACTAAAAGAACAGCATTTACAAGGTTTTCTGAACATATCACAAGAGCGATCATTAGGCACTTAATGGACAGTGGACATAATGTAGATATAACAAAGATGTCTAAAATAACTAACAACGGAATATAATGAGTTCGTTTTAATCAGTAAATCTAGTTGTTATTTTTTAATTAAGTTTATCAAGTGATCATGATATATGGGAAAGAAAATGGGTACTTACATTTGTAAGATGGGCAGTATACGATATCGGGCCGATACATAAACAACTCGTTCATTTAAACGTACAGATTGAACGATTCGATTTGCACAATAGCTTGCATCCACAGTAGGGAAGAGCAAAGGATGTCTGTAATATAATGGATAATAATTTTAATAATACACATGGCAATCCAAAAAGTCATATTTACGCTAAATATTCGAGATGTGCTTGTTACAATAAGTTAGATAGAGTAATCTCTTTACTGGAATGTCAAGCGTTTGGTAAAAATAGTGGAATTACTCTATTGGTGCTTAGTTGATCAACCACTTCACTTTACACGTACGATTTACTACGGAAAGATACCCACTCTTTATCCGCTCTTAGATCCTAATTCCTTAGATTATTTTATGAAGTTATTTTTAAAATTCCACTTGTTACCTTTTTTCTCGAATCATATCATCAATGTCTAATGTTCTTCATGACTGTTACTACCTCTACTACACTGAAATTTGTCTTGCCGAGAGTCCAAGGTTCTAGTAAGTCACAAGTGGTCCAATTTAGCCATATTGAAAGTAGGATATTTGTCCCATGTAGGATTGGATGACTACTGTGCCATATTGGGAATCGATTTAGGTTCGAATTGTGGACGACCGAATCCCAACTCAGTGGCCTAAAGGTTTAATGTTTGGCTCGAAATTTGAATGTCTCAGGTTGTTTGTGCTACCGAGAAGTTACATAAGAACGAAAAAACTGCCCAGTGCCTCCTAACTTATGTTAATCTACGATAAGAGTTACCTATAAATAAAATGAATAATAATCGAAAGGACTTACTTGGGTGTAACACCCTTAAACATATCTGTATTAAGTAGAAAAGGTAATATACGTGTAACACGAATTTCATCATCCACACCCAACTTAAGCAGCTCCAATTCTAATGATTCAGAAAATAACAGAGCTGCAGCTTTTGATGCACAATAGTCTGCACCACCTGCTAGAGGTACCCGACCAGCTATTGATGAAACGCAAACGATATGTCCTCTGGGATGACGAAATTTGACTGGAATACCAGAGCTTGAATTCTCATCTATTTTGTTAATCATAGATGGTAAGAATGCTTGAATTAACTTTGCAAAAAGGGATACAAAAGAAAAGAGGACATAATAAAGATAAATGTATTAAAAGTAATTAAATGATTTATTGTTCAAAATAATTAGCTTCCTGTAGAAATAAGCTGTCAAAATGTATGTGATTTACTGACTTTATAACAAAACTATTTTCAATGGGTCGAAAATTAAAAAAATCACTTCATAATAAGTCTACCATTAGCTATACTTTATGTAATAATAAATATATTTTTGTGTAGAAAACGCGTGTTCCTAAAATTCCGCGATTTAAAATTTAAGTCACTTTTTCAAAGATTTCGGTTACTTATCTGCTCTGAAGAAATAACTGATATTAAGTCACGAAACGTCAGGAACATAATTTTCTACTCATTAGGTTATCATAAAAATATATTTATTATTAACTTTCTACTCAATGCTCAATTTATTTGAAACGATCAAGTCCAACCATGACATTGATGGCCCACATACTTTATTTATAAGTGATCATAACAAAGTAAGACGAAAAATTATTAAAATCCAAAATGAATACTAAATTTATACCGCACACATTCCAAATATGGAATGATTAGGAGTTCAACTTAGAAAAAATGTTCTACTAGTTTACAACTGTTAAACATCATATCGGAATAATAATGTTTTTTAGAAATACTAAGTGGTTGTTATTGTCAGTATATTAAGAACACAATCAGTCAATTGCCGAAAAGAAACTTACATAGAAATGTGACAAGACATTGACTCGGAAACAATCTTCTATGGAATCATGTGTTAAGTCAGTGATAAATTCTGCATTCATGACACCCGCATTATTCACTAAAACAGTAACTTTTCCAAATTCTTTCAAAACGCTTGTCGATAGTTCATCAATAGCTTTTTTGTGTCTATCAATACAAAGAGATTATTTAAATTGGTTATTTTTAGAAGACAATTCATACCTTAAATCGCATACATAAAATTTAATTTGAATGTTAGTTTCCTTATGAACCAACTTCGATGTTTCTAATAGACCCTTCTCATTCTTATCAACAGCTATTATGTTTGGACAAAATTTCGCAAACTCCAAACACATGAGCCTGCCAATACCATTTCCTGCACCTGGAGAGTTGAAGAAAATTAAAGTATAATGTTATACAATAATAGTTACCAGTGACAAGTATAATGTCCGATGAAAGATCCTTATAAACTGGACTGATTGTTTGCAAAATATAGCTGGCAACTTCACGAAAAAAGCACCAGAGGAGTTTGAAAATAAACACAATATGTTCAATAACGAATTCCAAGTATGGCGTTCGGTGTTCGCATTGAATCATTTTGGTTACCTAAACGAAAAAAAGTTCACTTTATAGATGTAAGGATGGATCAGAAGAAATATACACATTTTGGGCACAAATGATTGCAGATCTGTAATTATGCTTAGGCTTACAGGTTAGGTCCCGGCCGTTGTTGCTACCTTGAAGTGGTCGTCAGGTGTGCCTGTCTTTATGACCAATCGCGCCATAATGTCTGGGACAATCGTTACTCAAAGTCCTATCATGCCAGATAGATCTGTTGAGCGGTAAGACCAAATGCAGCAAACCCAAGGTCCAAAGGCGGATGTTGGGGACGATAGATCCCCAAACTCATATTTTAAACTTTATCGCATCGATCAACTTATTGATTAAATGTTTAAATATTTGTATTGGGGTCAAGTGATGAACTGATCGATTAAATGGTTGAATAGCAGTCAGTTGATGAATCTATCAATTAGATGTGCAAATAGGTCAATAGATGAACTATCGATTCAATGTGCAAACAGGTCAATTTATGAACTCATTGATTAGTCTTTAAAAATGTTCTATGACAATATCGATTATATATATATATATATATATATATATATATATATATATATATATATATATATATTAATTTGTGCTTGCTTGCTTCTGGCTGTTGCAGAATATATTTTCCATACCAAGCCTGGACTTCTTCTTCTAGATACCGGGGCTGGGACGCGTCAATAGTTAGATCACTGGTCTTTGGTCACTAAGTATTGTTCTCGTTCGCGGTTTAAGTGAACTCGTGAAGCTTCAAACATAAGAATTTGGCGACGGTGATTTCGGAAACATGGATCCTTCTAAACTTGAATTATTACTCGAGCAGCAGATGAAACTTATTCAAATGTTAGCAGATGCAAAGCTTACGTCTAATACCCAACCAAGCAGTCCTAATCCTACTACTACTGCACCATCAGTTGATGGTATTGCTAACAGTATTTCCGAGTTTCATTACGATCCAGAATCCAATGTCACGTTTGATATGTGGTTTCGACGTTACGAAGACTTATTCAAATTCGACTTTGCTAATCAGGATGATGCTTGGAAGGTCCGCTTGCTGCTTCGAAAGTTGGGTCCTAGTGAACTAGACAAGTATTGCAACCTAATCCTGCCTTTAAACCCACGCGATCGTTCATTCTCCGACACTGTCCAATCATTGAACCAACAATTCGGAGACAACTCCTCACTATTCAATGCGCGTTACCGAAGTTTGAAGCTCACTATGAACGAAGATGATGATTTTCTCACACATGTGGGTATCGTCAACCGAGAATGTGAACGCTTCCGGTTGAAGTCGCTTACTGAAGACCAATTTAAAGCACTCATTCTAATCTGCAGCCTTCAATCGCAGAAGTTCAGTGATATTAGAACACGTTTGCTAAGTCGATTGGACCAAGACCCAAAACTAACTCTTAATGATATTGCAAACGAATATCAACGTCTAATCAATCTACAGCGTGATACTACAATGGTCCAGCGTGGTGGTTCAGATCGTACCGAAATTCATGTAGTCCAACAACCACACAACTCGCATAAATCTGCCCCAGCGACATCTAGTTCATGTCGACAGACAAAAACAAATCCTCCTGCTCCATGCTGGCACTTCTTCTTCTAGATACCGGGGCTGGGACGCGTCAATAGTTAGATAACTGGTCTTTGGTCACTAAGTATTGTTCTCGTTCGCGGTTTAAGTGAACTCGTGAAGCTTCAAACATAACAGCGGATTCGTACTGTACACAGGTGTGACGGCAGTAAAGTATTTCCCTCAGACAACTAGCATGAAAGCAATGGTGCCTTCCCACAGAGGAAGGGTGAGGTTAGAAAAACGTCAACCGAAGAGTACACTCCTCACCTTATCCTACGGATTTTCGTCCCCAGCGGTAAAGTCTCAACAAGTACGGGGCTAACATGAAAATTACTCACAAAAAGGTCGTGTGTGACCGACCTCACGCAGTTGTCCCTTTGGCACTGCGGTCACACTCTCAGGTGACTAAGACCACCTCTAACCCAATTTACTTTTCAGGTGCCCCTAGGAGAACCCTCCCACGGTGTAGGCAGCCGAGTGATAACCACCTCACTAGACACAGAAAATTCAGATTAAGGAGACCTATTAGAGTTAAACTCAGCGATGAGAAGACCAAAGGTAAATTCCAGGAACAACTGAAGTCACATTGGGGCAATTTTGAAAACAAGGCTGACCCAGATGTTACTTGGAAAGATATACAAAAAGCTGTAGAAACAGCAGCGATATCTATTGGTGATTTGAACCAAAGGGTCACGAAAAACAAGTGGAAGTCTGCGACACCCCTTTGGACCGATAAACTCTTGTAAACTTATCCTATTAGGCTCCGAACAAGGTGAAGAGCGAAAGCAAATCAGATCTAGGCTAATCAAAAGAGATGGAAACAACAGCGGTTGTAGGTAAAACCAGAAAGAAACCGGAATTAATAAGTCAAGTGTAAGTGAGATGATCTCGGAAAAAGACAGCACTTATCTGCTCTCAGTCCAGCTGGCCTTTATTTACTCTACTACTACTACCTACCATTAAAAAACAGCCTGAATGGAACATTGAAGTAAATCCCCCGATTTTGGTTTAAAAAGCTATAGATAGTCTGAGACGAGAGAGCAACTGGTTCAGATGGACTAACTCCAGAGGTCTTTAAGGTTGATGATCCAGTCTTAGCGATTACGTTGACAAATATCTTAGATAAAATCTGGGGATTGTACGTAATTTCATCTGACTAATCGTCCCAATATATAAGAAGGGGTCAAAACGATCCTGTGATAGCCATAGAGGGACTAGTTTGACTATTATAGCGTCTGAAACACTAGCCTCAATAATTTTCGGAAGCCTAACAAAGGCTCGTAAACCGCAAACATGAGAAGACCAGGCTGGCTTCAGACCTAGTTGTGACTTCGTCGAACACATATTCACCATTCCTTAGATGTTGGAACATAGCCATGTTTATCGGCGTCTAACAATGGTGGTTTTCCATGACTTGAAAGCCGTATTTGACTCTGCAGACCGAGGGCTTCTGTGGCAGTGTTTGTCATTGAAAGGCGTACCTCAGAAGTACATAAACATTGTGAAGGCTCTTTACTCGAATACTACCAGTCGAGTCAGGCTGTCCACTTTCTCCATTTTTGTTTAACTTCATCATAGACTTAGTACTAGAAATAACGTTCTAGTCGTCTAAATTTTCAAGAATTGATCTCATACCAGGAGGTCCACTTATCGACTTAGAGTACACAGATGACATAGTACTGCTTGGTGAAGACGCTGATGAAATGCAGTCTTTTGATAGCACTGAGCGACAACGCCAAGATGTTTGAAACGCGTTTCTCCCTCTCTAAATGAAAATCGTTGTTTTTGGACTTGCCTGGGTTAATAACTGCACTAAGGAAAGGGGGTGAAGTAGTCGAATGCGTTGACAACTTCATTTATCTTGGGAGTCTGAAAAGCCCTAATGGGTTGGTGTCAGAAGAAATCTCAGCAGATTCTAAAGGCTCGTTTGGCTTTTGCCAACTTACGCCACCTATGGCGAAGGCGAGATATCCGTCTATCAATTAAGGGACGAGTATACTGCACAGCAGTTTGTTCTGTTTTACTTGAAGGCTGTCAAACGTAGCCAATGAGGGTAGAAGATTATTTATTATTATTTATTTATTTATTTGGGCACATGAATATTGGTACAAGAGAGCGCCAATATATATGCGCCTCGTAAGTTACTAGTATTTGATCACGAATGTCTTAGAAATGCTGTTCGCATCTGCTGGGATAATGGGTAAGTAATAGTGAGGTTAGACGCAGGGTATTAGGGAATGATAGTGAATCAGTTGATGAGAGTGTAAATATTTATTGACTGAGATAGTTGGGCCATGTGTTGCGTATGCCTGAACACCGATTACCACGACGTGCAATGCTAACTGGTGTTGGGGATGGTCGTAAGAAAGTTAGGGGCGACCAAACTAAAACGTAGCATCAGTCCTTGAAGTCACTAACTTACAGTCTGAGTCATGTTGGTAGATGCAGACTACTTGGCTGGGGTCCGCGTGACTATCGTAATGAATGGTTGGATACTTTGGGTGACATGGCTCAGAATAGATCACAATGGCGTAGGTGTGTGAACTCTTTTTCTTTCCTTAAACCGTGAGAATAAAATTGCTGTATATATTTCTTTCTACGAACTGATTCTTTCTTCCTGTACTATATCTTTATACACAATCTTTCCTTTATACATTACTATCATTGAAGTGACTACTTCCATGAATTTGGTGTTCATCTTGTTGTGCTAATGAGGTGTGACAACTTGTACCGATGCCTATGTTCCTGGTCCTAGGTTGTAAACGACTGACTGACTTACACTTTAGGTCACAGCTCATATCTAATGTGGTTAGGCTAAGTTGTTATCTTGTTTCTGAAGCATCAATAGGTGAGAAGGGATTCGAATACAATTCAACTGGTTACAAATCTTTCAGTTACAATCACAAATCTATGAGCCTGGAAACGCCAATGAAGACATATAAGCATACTGTATGCTTTTTATTTATACGAGTGGTCAGGACAGAACTTATGACAAATCAACATCTGAATAGGCTATGGGAAATAATGCCCGTGTTCTTCAACCTTTATTAATTCTATTATGGACTACTTTTCATTCATCTTTCAGTGATTTATCTACCACTTGAAGAAATAATTTGGAGTGTGCTAATGACCTAGTTTCTCAGTGAATATGCTGAAAAAGTTTGCTGAGCCTCTTACGTGACAAAGCAGATAAATTTAAAATTTACTTACTTGCTCAGAATTCAAGAGCTGCTTTTGGGTTAATTTGTATCAAATTGCTTTTTGACAAAATGAAGTGAGGTGTGGGGAGATTTAATAGATATATTAAGCAGACAATCAGAATACAAAAGCGCACGAAGAGCCTCTTAGCCAAATGGGGAACTGGGTATTAATTGTGTTTGGTATATTATTACACTGCTTTTAGTATGTATGTATTAACACCAAGATAAATACTTTATATGTCCTGAAGCGTGATCGAGTATAGTGGAACAGGAAGAAAACAAGCGAGGGATCAGGAACTAAGCAGGCAAAAAATTAACTACGTTGTTAATTGCTCATTAACAGTATGTTAGAACACTTATTTCCCACTACCACCGCGTTGACGATTTGGATAGCAAATTGATAAAATGTATGAAATATGGTCTTATTGAATACATAACTCTTTAGGAAGGAAAGTAAGACGATACAACGTGAATACGTATTATTTAGTCATGGAATCTTGTGACAAAAATAATAAGAGTGATATAATATAGGTCTCCAAAACGCAAATACTACTGAAATTCAGAGTTCTTACAGGCAACCATAGTAAATATATATACCCAATCTCCCGATTTTGGGGATAATTTTGTCAGTTTTGGGGAAACGGCACAAAACCCCCAAATGTCCCCAAGTCCGGGTAGAACCACGAATTTTAATGTCACTTTGAGGAAGATCCCGAAATTTTGTTAAAAT